GCACCAAAGGATCCTATTAAAAAAAATACTGCTCAGAAGAACAAAGTAATTTTAAACATCATGACATGGAAAATGTTTCCTAACATATCGGAGATGTCTTCATTGTGCAGGATTGGCAGCAAACCTTCCTATGTGCTTTCCTATTTTAGGTTTGTGTTCTGACTTCAGGCAAGGTATATCTTTATTTAATGAGGAAAGTGAACAACATTGCTTCAGCTTCATTATGTCTGAAAACAGGTAACTAGCAGTCAGAAAAAACATGCCCTGAATTAATCTCACTGTGCTGAAAATAGGTGTGTCCCTAGCATTTTTTTTGTCCGTTTTTTGCCATACGAAGTACTTGGGCATGTTGTTAACTGTGCCTGCAGTGTAGCCCATTTATTTATATATTTTTAAATATAAAATGCTGCTGTCATCCCTGAAAGATCAAGTGCATGGATATAATTCTAAAATTGTATTTGCTGCTGTTGAAAGGTGATGATTAGCCCTGTGGCCTTCTGTGTGCTGTACAACTGTCATGTAAGCAGCGGAAGCTCCCGCGCAGTTGCGTGTGTAGGACCTCAGTCCTACTCTGGTAGAGTGTGGTGGGACAGGAGAGGGGTTTTGTGTCTAGCGCCTAATTCTTCACTTGTTATTCCACCAAACCTACTCAGTGGGTATCTGTTTATTGGTGAGCGACTGTTTTGTTGTGGATTTTTCACTAGAAATTGCAGAGATCTTCCCACATCATCTGCGCTTTCCTTTACAGTGGGAAGATTGCCTTCTGCCAGTCATAGCTTTCAGTCTTTATCTCCACATAGTTCCACAAGATCTTGATCCAAACAAGGTCTTTTGTGGGTTTTGTTTTGTTTGGGTTTTTTTTTTTTGTTTTGTTTTCGTTCCTAGACTGGTCTAGAAGCAGTGGAGTGAGCACAGTCTGTCTCCCAGATTTTGTAAGCCACCCAAGTCCCCTTTTAAATATAGTTATTAGTTACAGTTTGTATTTTGTAAATATTTTCTTTGCAGTGATTTATAGCTCTTAACCTCCTCATTATGATTCACAACATTTTGGACCGCCTGCTTCCTGGGGGAGAGGACGGGGGGTTGTTTTTTGCTTTCCTATAACTTGGACCTGAAGCGCTTCCAGTTCTGGAAGCAAGTGGAGATGGTAACAGAATGTGCCGGGTATTAATAGTCTCTGTGCTGGCCTGTCGCATTGGTATTTGTCTGGCTCGTCGGGGAGGTAGCCCTCTGTCTGGCCATGCAGATGGAGATCTGCTTGGAGCTCCGCACGCGGTGCTGGAGCCCCCGCCTTCCTCCCGTCGAGGAGAAATCCTCAGCAGTTGCTTATTCACCAGCTGGAAGAGTGGTCAAGAAGTGGGAAGATGGCTGTAGGGGCGTTCTTCTCCCCTTTTACGTGCCTACATGCACGTGTGTGCATCCACGCTTCTCTTTGCAGCTGCCCCTTCTTTCTTGGGGTTTCCCTACTGCTGAGCGGATGTAAGAAAGGAGCTGGCACTGGGGCACAGGCAGCACGTAGTTAAACATGAAGCACGTAGCGTGCGCTTCTCGAGCTCTGATGCATTTCTCGGTGACCTTGAGCAGAGCTGTGCAGGCATGAGTGGCATTGTCACCTGCGTAAGTATATGTTGAGGAGGTAAGGTGGGGACCCGACGCTGTTTCTAAATGCAGGATCTTTGCCCCAGTGAGTCTCCGTGTTGCCTGATGAGAAGCTTTGAGACCTAGGGAATGTGTATCAGCTCCCTTCCAAGCTGAATCGCTGTCTGTAGTGAAGGAAGAGGGCCAGTTTTTTGCTGTGTAGTGCTGATGTGAGGCCAGAAGGAAGGAGCTGAAACTAGAGGTAGGGAAGGAGTCAGGGCGGGGAATGGGTGCTCGGTGAAATGCAGGCTTTTATCATCTGGCTTGGTCAGGGTAATGCTGTTGCCAGTCTCCATTATGTGCTGCCTGAGAACAGGCTCCAGGCCCTTCCTTTCATCTCCTTCCTAATGAATTAAGACAAGGAATAACTGTAGAAGGAAAAGAAAGGGAAAAAAAAGGCAAAAAAGCGCAAGATCTGAGGGGACTATTTCTCTTTCATTTCTGTTGTAGCTGAATGTGTGGCAGTAGACAAATGTATTGAGATAATGTTACAGTGGCTGAAAGTTCAAATCTTACCTTAGGGCCACAAATGATAAAAATGAGGGAGCTTAGAGCATCCAGAGAGAGGAGATATTTAATGTTAAACGACTGCTGAAAAATCAGGATGTGTGAAAGCCTGAAAAACATTTGGGGACTCTAAGTGTAGTCAAAAAGGTAAGAGTGGACCGACATCCTCTGTTCCTTCTATTGTTTCTCCTCTTTGAAGCCTTTGTCTTACTGCACACGGTCACACGTGCTTCAGAATGACTCATGTGTAGGGCCAGCTCTCTGCCATATGCAGGAACAGCTGTGAGTGGTTTTGAGGCGGCCGCTGTACATGATACATTGCACCCTTGATAAGAAAGGAGTTGTGCCCTCTGCCTGCGAACAAATGGATGGGAGAGGAGTGCAAACGACCTCCTGGCTTCCTCCCCTGGCGAAGCAGCAAATCCAGCACTGTGCAACCTATATTTGAGTTTAAAGACTGGAACATTCTTATCATCACTGTTCAGCCTCTGTGCCTTTGCTCATTCACACTGCAGAAGCTGCAGTAGTGGGTGCTTGAGGATGCACCTGTGTTGCATGGGTGTTTGCTCACTTGCCAGTCCCACACAGAGCCACAGAAAACATGGAATTTGGCAAATTGCAGTAGCAGGGCTCCAAAATGGATTACAGAGATCCCTTTTAGCAGATTTGGGGGAGTTATTTTGGAGCACTCACTTGCGGACGTTGTGTGCGGTGGTGATGGATGGGCTACCCCTATGTTTTTGTCCTTCTTGGACAGATTTGCCCTGAGGAGCAAAGGACTCTGATGGAGTCATAAAAATAAAGCCACCAAATAGCATAGCGTGATTTAATCGTAAGCCAGCTGCATCGATTCTTCCCCTAGGGTGTACTCTCTGTGTGTTTGGAGATGGATTTTGTCATGGGGGTGAGAATAGGAGAAAATAAGGAACTTGGGGAGGGGGAGGCATCTTTTAAAATCTGAATCAAGTGGAAGTTTCAAAGGTTGTTCTGGGGTACGGATGAGTCTTAGCCAAGTAAAAATGCTGAGACTTGCGTGGCTCTAGCGGGCAGAGGGACTTGCAGGACAGTGTTGCCGTTCTTCCTGTCGTGGCTTAGTTTGTATTAACCAGATCAAACGTGTTTTGTGCTGCCTGCACAGCCCTACCGCAATAAGATGGAAAGCTGCCACTGCTCTGCTCTGCATGACAAAGACCCCAGTTCTTACTGTTTGCTTGCTCTTGTTAGTTCTTTGCAACCAGTATTTAAGTTCAAGGTCGTGTCTGTAAGAGACATTTCTGTCCAGAAGCAGCTCTCTTAATGTCACTGGTTTAGTTCATCTATGGATAGATGTTTCTTTCCAAATATTTATTGAGTCTTATATACTGAATGATATTGAGAGCAGTCCACCAAGTCCAGAGAGTAGTTGGGCAGTCAATGTGGGCTGATTCCTTTCCTCTGTGGTACATAAATTGTGTATTTCAAACAGGGGGAAAAAAAAAAAGATTCAAAACCAATAAAAGCCCCACTCTTAAATCTTGGGTTAAGGCCAATGTGTGTTCTTGAAGGTGCCTAAAAAAGGCTGGCTAGCAATTACATGGTCCTTGCCCTCTCATAAAACTTTTTTTCACTTGATGGGTTAAAGAACAGGTCAGATTGGCATCTAAAGAAATTAAATGGCACCTAAACGTGCATAACACCGGTAGTCAAAGCATGTCTCCTAGGAGGCTGAGGCAAGGAGGAGGAGATGGAGTGAGCTGGTGGGTGCTTTTTGAATACCTTGGTCTGTCAACACTTGCCTTGGAAAGGGACAGAGCAGTAAAACTGATGAAATTGTAGTCTGCTTTGTTCTGTAGCTCTGAGTTTTTTAGGTCACTTTTTTGTGACCTCAGTGGTAAAAACTACCATTTTCTCATCAAGCCATTTCGTGAAGGAGTCTTGCCTTTATATTTCGTGCTGTGCTCAAATTTTACCACTTTTTAGTCCAACACAAGTGGCTGAGGTTCTCTTCCTTTCCTTGCCATCATCTTGGAGAGGAGGGAGGTGTTAGATCTCCTCTCTGGCACATGTCGCCCTTATTGCTCTGTCCCGGGCCCACCCCTTGACCTGGCTTTGTTGGCAATGCTTGGGGAACGCTTGTTTTAGCTATGAGATTGACTCTTGTTTTAGCTATGATTGACCCTTGTTTTAGCTACGAGATTGGTACCACAAAGTAGCACTTGGAGTTTTTATAAACCCTGCAGTAGTAATGACTGTCCCATGTCCCTGGGCCGACTTTAAATGTACAAGAGAAGTTAATCAAAGACATCCATAAGCTGTTCACGTATGGATTTTACCATTTAATTATAGATCTTCTTTTGGGGTAGTGTTTCTCTGAAGGGAGCTTGACAGAACAGATGCCGTTTTGCCTGGGGATGCATTTCTAGTATTGGCCCGGTGAAGAGCTGCCACTTCAGCTGTGGGATTTTGATGATTGCGTGAACATCCTGCCACATGAGATTAGAGTGGCGGTACCACCTCCCAGCTTCAGGATATGAAAGATCCGCCTCTTCGTTAGAGCTTTCATATGGTGGCAGCTGAAGGGAGGAAGAACAGGGGAAAAGAGAGGAGCAGTTTGAGGAAACCAAAGGAAATCTACTAAGCTAGAAGGGGATCTGAGGGGAGGGAGACTAAGATCTGATTACGATTTACTCATGGAAAAGGAGGCGAAAAACAAGAGATCGATTGTTAAACATTACTGGCTTTATCAAAATGATCAAGTGCTCAGATACTGCAATTGCAAGTGCAGTAGTAATACCTAAAAAGAGAGAGACAAAGCACGTGAAAGGAGTTTGTGAGGTTTCTATTCATTCTCGCATTTTTTGTCTTTCTGATTTCAGCAGACAGAAGGAGGGGCACAGACAGATGGACAGCAATCACAAACGCAGAACAGTGAGAGTACCGAGAGCAAATCCACTCCAAAACGACTTCATGTGTCTAACATTCCCTTCCGTTTTCGAGATCCTGACCTTCGGCAGATGTTTGGGGTAAGTTACCAGCACCTTTTAAGGCATGACACATTCTCCTTCCCCACAGGTGGGCCACATGGTGTTAGCATACTCCCATGAAGGATAAAACCTTTCTCCTCAATTTAGTCTGTACACTGTAAAATACTTGCCAGGGCCTAGGACAACTGGTAGTGTTTACCTCAACTGCAAAATACAGATGAAAACTGTGTAACTGTGTGGGTCATATCAAGATGTGGAGTGCAACCTAACAATTGGTTTGGAAAAAACCAAAACCCCACAACGCAAAACTTCACCTTATTTCCCAGTGAAGACTAGGATTAAACATTGACTTAATGTATTCCTTGCAAAGCACTGTTTTTTAGTTGCTTAGAAACTTGTTGAAATATTTATGCCTTTCCTCATGATCCACTTCTGTGATGAAAAATGACTGCAAGGAATTGGCCGACTAGCTTTTGCATGTGGAAAAGCTAGTGCAAGTCAGATGGTATTTTACATTGTGTATGATATACATTCTGTTTCTTTTGACCCAAATAGTCTTGTCTTCCCTAATATTTATATGCTGTTCATCAATCTCAATTTATAAGTGCTCTGAGGTGGAGTTTGTTCACATGAGTATAGGAAGTGACTCATTCTGTGTGGAGACACAGATAAATGATGTAGATGCTTCATGACCTAATCTTCAGGTGAGGTTATGCATATATCATCGTCATCAGGAATCCTTGTCTCATAGATAGGATGGTAACATCCTTGGTTGATGGGATGTTTTAGAGTCTTCAGAAATATTTCTTATTACGTATAAAGTTAACAGACTTTAAATACTGCTGCCTGCTTAAGATGCAGTGCAGAAGATTTAAGTCAGGGAAAACCAAAGCTAAGGTTCCTCTTGCTACCAAACTTTGAATTAGAACCAAGTATACCTTGGTCCTGACTGCACGGCCAGCTGCTCCTCCAAAGTCTTGGAGTAGTTTCTGTTCAAGTTGTTGCCACTCTTGAGCCATTTGTGTGAGGGCGTATGCGTGCACATATACACACACTCTCACATTCTGTAACACATGCTGTGCTACGGTATGTAAATGTGTCGAAGTCATGGACTTCTGTTAAACTCTAAATGAGAGGAAAATTGGGTTTATCTGTTTGTAATTCGGACAGTACAAAGTGAGCAGAAGAAGGGTGCAGAAATGTCAAAAATTTCACTGATAGTCTTCAGCAAGAGTCCCAGTTGCTATAGATGGTGAGAGATCTTTGTTCTTGAAGCTTTTTGTGTCCATAAGAAGCTACTTTCTGGGTGAGACCAAATGGAGAGAAGTGGTCAAAATGTGAGAGGGCAGGATTGCTGTTCAGAGGGACCTGGCCAGGCTGGAGAAATGGGCTGATGAAGTGTCTTGAGATACTGACCAAGAGCAAGTTTCAAGCCTTCCATCTGGAAGGGAAGAACCCCTGCAGCAGTACAGCCTGGGGACCCGTTGTCTGTGGAGATGCTCTGCAGTAAAAGATCAGACACAAGCAGCTTTGTGCCCTTGCACCAAAGGCAGCCAAACGTGTGCGGGGCTGTGTTGGTGAGTGTAGCTGGCAGGACCAGGGAGGTGATCCTCCCTCATCTTCAGCAGTCCTTGGACTGCATCTAGAGTACTGTGTCCAGTTTGGGCTCTACAGAGCAAGAAGTATGCCTCATCTGAGTGAAATACTGGAGCAAGCCCAGTGGGCATCACTAAGATGGTCAGGGGGCTGGAGAGCATGGCATGTGAGCAGAGTCTGAGACCTCGGTCTGTTCATCTTTGAGAAGAGAAGGCAAAAGAGGTGGTATTTTTGTTGTCTGCAACTACGTGGTCAGAGGATATGGAAAAGTTGTAGCCAGATTCTTTTTGGTTGTGTGTAATGATGAGATGGGAGACCACAAACACAAGTAGGAACATGGGAAATTTCAGTTAGATATCAGGAAAGTACTTATTTTTTTTTTTTTAAATTTACTATGAGAGAGGTTAAATAGTGGAACATGTTGCCCAGAAAGGTTGTGGAACCTCCACCTTGATGGTATTTGGCTTGACTGGACGTAGCTTGTCCAACCAGATCTCATTAAACTTGCTTTGAGCAGGGGTTGCACTAAATGACCTCTGGAGGTAGGTGCCAGCCAAAATTATGAGTCCATGATTCTGTTGCAAGAGGCCTGGGTTTGCTTCCGTGTTGTCTGTCACACTCTTGACATCCGTGGGAATGTTTTCAGGGTGAGACTCATCTCCTGGCAATCTGCGATTGCTGAATCTTCTCAGATGCCTGTTCTGCTTTTGTGTTTTTTAGCTTCCTTTTTGCGGTTGCAGGGCTCTGCAGTAGGCAGATCCGTCCGGTTTGGATAAACCGGTTGCTGAAATCACAGCCAGTTCTTGGACCACCTGCTACAGTCTGTATTTAGCACGTTCTGCTCTGTGCTACCGCTGCTCCCCTCTCCTGGGAGCTGCATCGCTTACGTAAATTGTTTCATGTTGTTGCTGCCCCTTCCCTTGGGACTGGTGCTCAGCTTGACAACTGGCCTTTCATGCTCATTCACCCTGATGCTGTTCCTCCCTGTGCTCCTTGTTGGGGGGACATGGATGAGATGGAAATGTCAGGAACATACCTGTCCTGGTGACTCTTGCCTCTGCTTTGCCGATTGGGAGACCCAGGGAATTTGAACAAATTGCTGTCCTGAGATGCGACTTGTAGAAAATGCAGCCTAAATGCTTGCATTAAGATTTTCCTATCCTTTCTTGGGCCCATTTGGTGCCCCTTGTACATAGAAACAGTGGGGAAATATGATGTATGAGTTGGGGTTTGGTGTTCCTGAAGTTATTTGTTGTCTGATTATTTTTTTTTCCTCCTCTAAACATCATGTCAAGTTCCAGCACAGTGGTGTGATTTTAGCTGGGGTAAATGATATATTCCCTATAAAACGTTTTGCGAGTTTACCTGGCCCTGTGCTTGTTGAGAAGTATGCCTACCAGAGAAACATTTATCTTTTAGGGCATACAACAAAAAGCGCCATTGTCCTGTAATAGAGAACGTTGCTATTTTGCCAAGGAAATAATCAATGGTTCTTGCACATCCCTCTCTTTCTTTCAGTGCTGCTTCTCTCAGCATGCTCAGAGCCTCAAGCAGAAGAGTGTTTCTCTCTGAATCCTCCTTGCTCCTATTTCTTTTGCAGGATCGGGATGCTTTCCCTTGGGTGACTCATTGAAACCAACCCTTTCTCCTACAGGGGACTCATGGTTGTCTGAGTCTTCAGCTGTGGCTAGCCTGTAACCCCCATCTCCTCCCTCTCCCTTCTGTGTGTCAGGTCACATCTCCTCAACGTCATGTCTGAGAGACTCAAAATCCTCGCCTGGAGTGATTTTCCCAAGCTACTGTACAAAGAGAAGAATTGGGGAGACAGCAAAGCCGTGGAGGAAGAAATAAATGTGATGGGAGGGAGGGAGTAGAGAAGTCCCCTGAGGATGGAACAGCATGCGAGAGGTCAGCCCAGGCCTGGGGCGCAGAACATTAGCTAATGCTTTCGTCCAGACTTGAGTAGAGGTGGACTTCAGACGCGTTGTCCCATGTGTGATTAAATGGGTATTACGTAACGCTTTCTAAACCTTCACCGTTTGTGAGAGCTGCACACGTAAGGATTTCCTGACAAATTCAAGTTATGCGGGTTTCAAACCATCTCTCACCTGTTCCTAACAGGTCCCCGAGATATCCTCAGGAATGGAACAAACACTTCCTTATGCATATGCTTCTTATAGGGAGGCAAATAAAGCAGGCTGCTTAAAACAGGTAATATTTACTTGACATTTCATGATGCCAATAAAGCGACTTCCAGAAAGCTTCTAGAAGGAATAGGTCATTTTTTAATGCACACAGTTCTGCACCCACTGTGGAATAAATCAATAGTTGACCTTGTTCTAGCAGATAAGGAAGAGTTAATAGCTGACCTGAAATCCCACAGTTGCCTAGGTACCAGTGATTGTTATTTGTCTGTATTTACTTTGTGCAAACAGAATATGGCATCAGGCAGTAATGTAAGTAGCTTTAGAGGAGCCTGTTTCTTCAAGTTTAAACAATTGGCAGGATAACTGCCTAGGAAGGTATCTTTAAAAGGGAAGTGTTAATGGAAGCTATGAAGTATTCAGCAAAATCATACTGGTGGCCAAAAAGGCATGATTCCACAGTCACTACAACTGTGTTAATGAAACACAAAGTGTTCTGTGCATTAGGCAGGGAAGGCGAAGAAGAGGAGGAATTAAATGGCAGTGAACATAATTGCAAACTTGAGCAAAGAAGCAGGTGAGAAGGGAAATGTCCTAATCATGGAGATACTGGTGATGGAAATTGGGAGGAGAAGGCATGACTTTTTCACATGCAAAGAGAAAAGATCTAGGGGTAGGTACAATATAAAATTAGGTAGTAATTATGTGGTTTGGGGGGGGAAAAACACAAGTAACAACAAAAGAAGCAAAAATCAAACAGCAAAAAAACCAAAACAACAAATCTCCCAAGCTTACCATGTTTATAATTTAAGAGGAGGTATTTGTAATGTATCTTGTTTTGTATATAGCAGAGGAGGATGAGAGGGTGCTCTCTAATATTTAAAAGCCAGCAGATCTAGATAAGGTACATCCAAAGATGATAACCAAAGCAAAGAAGCTCTTTTATTCATTAATGTTAATTTTTAGCCAGTTTGTGTAAGCTTGGGTTGTTGCAGGAGGCTGGAGCACTGGCCACCAGGATTCGCTATTGAAAAAATTGAAAGGGATGACTCAAAGAGCTACAAATATCTGTCTATACATTGATCCAAGATAAAAATAACATTGGAAAGTATTAAAAAACATTAGAATCTGAAGAAATGGTTTAATACTATTCAGCATGACTTTGTATAACGTAATACATGTCTTTGCAGACAAATACTGTCGTGTCTATTTTGACAAGAATATGCAAAGCAATACTGATACAATTGAAAATTACTGAACAAATTTATACAAGTGACCAATGTCAATTTTTAAAGAAAA